CCAGACATCTACCACTGCATGGACTACCATGCTGCCCTGGCTCCACTTTACCTTCCGGAGCCTTGAGGGGCTGATTTGAGATTTGGGTTCAGCAGGCTTGAAGTTGGATTATGTGGAATTTGTTCCGGTCTCATGTGGAGCTCGGGCAATCAGGGAGGGGATGCCATGCTATGATACACTATGCGATCTTGCAAAACTTCTGGAGTTTTTTCAACTTTGCACAGAGATCACCTCCCAAGGAAGTCTTACAAACATGACTGCTCTCGTGGATATAGGGGCTTGAAACCTGGGATATAGAGCCGGAAGCTGCAGAGATAAGGTGTGGCAGCCAAGATAGATCACGATGAGGGAGTCTGTGAAGCCTGCAGGGTCAGGGAGGCCTTTCATCAGGGTTTTCAGGGAAACGGCTTAGCCTTCCAAAAGACGGTGTCTGCCGTCTCGTCATGATGCTGAGAAGTACTACCACGTCAGCTCCTCCAGGTTGCCGTATGAGACATCCCTGAAAGCAGACACGCGTGCTGCGTCGAGACTGACATGTCTCAGAACCCCAGACCTGAGCACAAAACATTTCTGGTTTTGCGCCGCAGCAACAACCTCGCAGAAAGTCCGTCACGCCAGAAGTAAGAGCCCAGGGAATGTAAAGACGGAAGCAGGTAGCTATTCCTGTAGCCGGAAGCACCACGTGGTGCAGCTTTTGGTTCTTTGAAGGAGAAGCCGATCCCCATGATCCTGGTCTTGCACAATGCGGACTACATGGGTGCCTGCCTGCAAATCATAGAAAGGTAAGTGGGGGATTGTCAAAATTATGGTCCCTTTTTGGGTCCCCTAAATTAGGCCCCGTATTAGGCCCCGTATTATAATAGGGACCCAAGAAGGAACCATAATTTTGACAATCCCCCAAGTATGTTCCCTGAAATTCCTCAGGACTTGGTGCTGGGTTGCTCAGAATCTTGTGGGCCTGGTATTGAAAGTACGCCGGAAGTAGGTAGAATCTCCAGCTTGGAAAGCCCCTTATTATGCGATGCAAATTCTAGTCCCAACGTACTCTACTGTGTTCTCTCCAAACCCTAAACCCTAAACATGTACTCTATCTGCGAAAGGAGCCAAAGTCGAAAGGAGCCCAAGAACCACAAAGATTCCTTGTCGCAGACCCCCCCTCCCCATTGACCTCCAAGGCTGCACAGAAAATTGGCTGTACTTCAGGGTTTAGGGTGTATTGTTGACGACTGACAGAGGCGATTTGCAAACTTGCTGAAGCAAAGCCATACCATAAAGACTGATAAAGGAGCCTGCAATGTACAGCCAGCGCATTACCATGTGATAAGTTGTCAAAACAGTGGCCCCTAAAAATGGTTCGGGTACCCCAAACGGGACAAGGATTTTGGCAACCCACCATATTGTGTGTTGTGCTTGCCGCTCTTGAATACACTCCTGCGGAAGGTGTCATAGAGACTGACTTCATCAACGACCGCTTTTGGAAGACGGCCATGACTATGCGAAGACTCAGCTAGGAGCTCAACATGATCCATGGGTGATGTATAGGGTTCGGGGTGTAAGACTATGGACTATGGATTATCCTAATTAATCAGAGTCAGATGGAAAAGAATGTTGATAATGAAATGGAAGCCGATATAGTTTTCTGAGTGCAGAGAATGGGGCTTGGAGTTCTCTAGTCTTACATAGATGACACAGTTCTCAACAAACTGCTGCCGGATTTCCCTGCACGTTCGGACTTGCCGCATGTCAGTTGTGAAATCAGCGGTTGTGCTTCACTGGTAAGGTTCCTGTGAGAACACGCAAATGTGATGGATAATTTTTGAAAGAGCCCCTGTATCAATTGCCAGTGATCATGGCCTCAGAGCTGTATCTATCCGGATTGTAGCCACTAATAGCTACCTATGGCACTTCCAGTAGACTACCCTTGAACCCCACAGCCATCGCAGGAACACTGTTGGCAAGAACGCACTGTCTATGACTCACATTACTATTGCAACTCTTCTTACATTTATTACTAGTTATTGTTATTCCTGTCATTATTAGTACTCCTATTACTGTTGTTGCTCGTAGTAATCTCACTTCTACTCATTGGCAAGTCTGGGATGGCAACGACTGCTGAGGCTTGGTCTTCAACTTGCGGATCCGGGCCATCAGGAAGTACGTGCTCTTTGAGGGTCGGTTCAACATGCTCAAGGCCACTGGGCAACGCATCACAGGTGATTGAACCCGTGACCGCAAGCCCTAAATTCTAAACCCCTCCCCAACACCCCGAAAGCCTAAGTCGGCAGTTTTAGGGAGTTGATGGTGCTTCAGACTTACATGCGAAAGATTGCTCTCTCCTGGAGCTCCGGCTTCAGAGAGAGAGCCAGCTTCTTCAGTATTTGAGAGCAAATCTAGCATGACACTGTTGTATGTAGGGAAGGTAGCCCGACCTTAGCCAATTCGCACAAAGCTTTGGTCTGGCCCCAAACTCTTGACGGCGAACCCTAACCTCAAACAGAACAAATGAGAAATGAGCTACTGCCTAAACTCCTTAAAGGGGGTTACATAGGGGAATATATAGGGACCTACAAAAGGGCTTATTAAGGGGTATACTAGGAGTTTAGACTATAGCTCAAATGTGCTTTGAGAGGCGCTAAGCCGCCGCTAATCCTCAAGGTATAGGGTTTAGGGTTATCTAGGGGTCTTATAGGAATAACGGAAAAGAAAATGGAAACTACTATAATGGGGTTATATAGGGCTTAGGGTTCTATAGGGGTCTTATAGGAATAATGGAAAAGAAAATGGAAACTACCATAATGGGGTTATATTAGGGTTTAGAGAAATATGTATAGGAGCTCAGACAGACCACCAATGACACTGGCTGGAATGGCTGGAACTGCTGCAGTCGCTTGAGATTCTGAGTGGTTATATGAAGCACGCAAGCCTCAAGCTAAAACCCTGCCTCAAGACCTCAAGAAACAGGCAGGGAAAGACACCCGCTCACACCGTCAGCTGTAGATGTTGCCGCCCTGAACTTTCAACCTCAAACCCGACACATGGTTGAGCCTCGCTCAAATACCACAGCCCAGATTCAAAGTGTAAAACTTCCGCAGAAAACTCCCGTTTTCATTCAAACGTAGAACAAGATTGTTGAATCTGTTCCAGGTATTGCTTCAATTCATTCATGGCAATTGACGGCGAGAAACAGATCAACCCTAAGCTTAAAATTGTGCTTACATGGGCATTTGTCAAAATGTTCCCCACAGAATGCCCATAAGAATCCCAGAATTTCTCAATCCCCCCAGCATTCTGATTCGGGTCAACCTCCGCCCTGCTAAACCCTAACCCCCAAACCCTGGCCCAAGCCCCAAGCCCTAAACTTCGACCCCAAAACCCTCAAATCCCAAAAGACCAGACCCCAAATCCGTAAATCTTAAGCCCCAAACCCTATAAGCCTTACCCATCATAGTGGTTTCCATTTTTTTTTCCATTATCCCAATATTACCCCAATATGTACCCTATTATAATCCCTATATTACCCAAGTATTGAATACACCTACCCGAAAATCTGCCCTAAACCCTAAACCCTAAACCCTAAACCCCTAAACCCCTAAACCCTAAACCCCTAAACCCTAAACCCCTAAACCCTAAACCCTACATCAGGCCGGAGTTGCCTACATCAAGGAGATGCAGGGCGGCCAAGGGGTCTGCGCCGTCTCCGCCAACTACGCTGCAGAGTTGAAACGCGTCTTGGCTTTGTTACGGTTTCGGGTTTAGGGTTTAGGGTTTGGGGTTTAGGGTTCAGGATTAAGGTTTAGGGTGTAGGGTTTCGGCCGCCCCCTCCTAGTACTAAATATTTCCAATGGTTTATAGTTGTATACCACAGTGGGAATAGTTTATATTAGGATGAGGGATCGGATTTCTTGATATTAGCGGGAAGGGACTAGTAAAGTCGAGCTACTCTGGCAGTGATGCACCAACAAAGAGGCTAGCTAATTTTGCAACTGGCTCTGACCTCTCGTTATCAGGGAATGATATTTAGGGTTCACGGTTCAGGGTGTAGGAATTGAACAGAAGATTGAATAGAAGATGGAAACTATTATAATGGAGAATCACATGGAAACTTAAGAGGCAATAAGAAATTGGAAGCTAGGTTTTGAGATTCTATAGCAATATATAGGAGGATGGGAAAGAACATGGAAGCTACTGCGTTATTGGGGTATGGTATGGGGACTACTACAAGGATCCATTCCTGCATTCCTTGCTCAACCACAGCTCAGATGGGGGTGGTCACTATTGCTGGAAACCAGCCCTACTAAACCTTAAACCCAAAACCCTATACTATACCCTAAATAGTAGTTTCCATTGTCTTTTCCATGGTCATATAACGCCTATATAACCCTTATATCAACCCCCAAAACCCTAAACCCTAAATCTAAGGAGGCGTCAATGGTTCAAGACTGGGTTGATGCTCTCACCGCTAAAGTGTTGCAGCATCATGACCAAATCGCACTTTTTGCAGTAGTCCAGTGTAATCCAAAAGGGTTTAGGATTTAGGGTTTAGTTCGCATTTTCTTTTGCCTTCCCCTAGACATCCTCAGATAATGCGATCTCAGGCTTGTTCTGCCAAAGCACATCAGCGAACTTTGCAGTGAGCTTACCCTACAAAAGCCCTCAACCCGAAACCCTAAAGCCTGAACCCTAAATCCGAGGCCCCAAGCCCTAGACCCTAAACCCCACACCGTAAACTCAAACAACTGCACAGAGAACAAGCTCAAGCCTGTCTGGACGAAAATCCGAAGTCAGAAGCTCTAGAAGCTTAAATGGGGGTTTCCCAAAACTATGGGTACCATTTTGGGGGACCCCAGTAGCATTTTGGGGTCTGTTGGGGGTCCCCTTGGTTTCGGAAACTCCCAAATATAATTGCCGATAAGATTAAAGGATTAGGAATATTATGGTCCCTTTTAGGGGGTTACAGTGACACTCGGATATTTGAGTTTAGGAATAATAATGGCGAATCAGATGAAAAAGGACATGGAAAATGCCGTGGAAAGTGGGTTTATATAGGGTTTTGTAGGAATAGTTGCCAACTTTACGAGATTATGGTGTCATGCTCCTTGTCTTACCTCCAATGGTATCAGGTAGTTATTTCTCGCCGACTTTGTCTCTCGCCCGGAAAAACCAGGAATGCAGGGAAGCCAGATGCGCAAACAAAGGCTCAAATTCGCTGACAGGCACAGTGGGTTCAGCACTTTCCAGTAGGTACTGGACTCTGATTTTGGTGCCGACTTGCGTGAAAAATCAGGACTTTTTCCCGGACATGTTAAAATGGTCGTGCTGGATTGAAGATGACGCATTTGCATATGCTTTTGGAATGCGCAACTTATTACGCGAAAATTTTTTGTGGTGTTGGCATGGATGCTCTGGTGACCGTTTGCTCTTGAAACACCAACGCATTATGGTTTGGGCATGGATTCTCTGGTGACGCAATGCTCTTCGAACACGAACGCTATGGTGGAACGTAAATATGCTTTGGGTCCGGTAAGTTTCGTCTGGTTCCTGGCATCAGAAGAACCCGGTGCCAATTGTATCCAACTAGTTCGGCCCCTATATTACAGCGTGCGTAAGTCAGCTTTAGAAGGCAATATACGCAAGATTCAGCACATGCTGATCAGCTTTTGCTTTGCCAAAACCACGGTCTGGGTTAGCCAGTCTCCGGGGCGTCAGGCGACGTACCAGGTGCTGCCAGCAGCGGCCTCTACCGAGAAGGGTTTGTTGGCCTTAGTGTACCAAGAAAGTCATTGCTCTAGCTCCTAAAGCCACTTGTGGTAGTTTCTGCTGCGGGGTTTACCCGGGAAACAGCGACATGTATATTTGTATATATATACCCTGGGGTATGACACATGAGGATGCATTCGGTCTAGGGTATACTTAGGGCTTGCACGCCACTACTAAAATCAAGGAATCTAAGAATGCACTGCAGGGGGATACTCTGACTTGTTATGGCGAGTGTGTCGGAATCATTGTAGGCATGCCCTGCTAGCAAGGGACGAGCGTTTTTTTCGTTCCTCGTTGGATTGGAGGAGGGCAGACGAAAAACACTAGTTCTACAAACGCTAAGCCCTGAATCCTGATCCTTACAAGCTTGGAAGCCTACAGGCTAACTTTTTCCTATGACAGTTGGTGCTACTCACCTAGACCCTCCAGCTACCTTTTGTGACGGCCAAAGCTCCAGTTTAGACTATAGTACATATATCCCCAATTAAGGGTACTAGGAGGGTCTCGGCCGATGCGCGCTCCATCTGAGGAGAGCGGATGCTCTTCCGTGGCCTGCCCAACATCCTCCCCTTGGACAATGCCACGGATCCGGCTGATGATCAGGGAATAGGCCCAGTGCAAGTATTTTGGATCCATAAGCTGACCCATGTCGGGCTTTTGTCAGAGACCATCTCAGGAGTATGTGGGAATTGCCGAGGGTCTGTAATAGAAGGGAGCAAGAAAAGTACTCATGTACTGTATACAGTCAGCCTTAGCGAACCTGAAGGGCCTTTAAACTTGCTGGAACAGCGAAACCCTCAACACTTAAACCCTTATGGGGTCCAGACAGCAAAGATCCTCAGTATACTGCAGATGCACGAGTGATCTTGGGAAAGGATGACAGACTTGCCGGGGAAAACTTGCAAGTTGGAGTCTCTGAAGATCATTCTTACGTATTCCTTAAGGGGGACAGTTGAACTCCTGTTTTCATCTCCCCACCCCAAGGGTTTTGAGAACCCTCCGGGATGATTTCTTTGCAGGAAATGGGGCCAATATCTCTTTTAATTACGTTGAAACATAGAGCTCAGTAAGCCCTGAACCCTAAACTCTAAACTCCATGCTTTCAACAAAACAGGATCCCTTGAAACTAGATAATCCCAAACGTGTCATGATCCCCATTGTAGGAGCTCCGCCAGAAGGCCCCCCCCCAAATGGGAAAATTTCTTATCTACTGGAAGCCATAAGATGCTCATCATAGGCACAAGAGGGAACCCCAGCTTCACCACGCCTTCATAGATAGATCTCCCCAAAGTATGGATCGCTTTCAATAAGGGAATATATCATAGAGGGATTCTGTAGAGATTACGCTCCCTTATGTTGTACTAAGAACCAGTAAGTTCAGGGCCCTGTCAAAAAGGAATTTCGTTCCGGGCGCTGCGTAGAAGGATAATGGCATGTTGGGATCATCCCTCCGAGCGCCATCGGATAAGGGTTTAGGGTTTTAGAGTTTAGGGATTAGGGGTTTAGGGGTTTAGAGGTTTAGGGATTCAGGGATTTAGGGTTTAGGGGTTTAGAGTTTAGGGATTAGGCGATTAGGGGTTTAGGGGTTTAGGGGTTTGTTGGCTTGGGGGTTGGGTTTAGGCCTCTTTCCAACGTCGAATTCACAAAAACTAGCTCGTGGAATGCTTAAACGCAAATTTCAGCAACTTCACCCTAAACACTACACTCCCCCAAACTAACATGGAAACCCATATAGCCCGCTTTTAGAAGGACTGTAGTCTTTATTGGGCCCTTTTTGGGTTTCCATGTTAGTTTCCGGGAGTGTAAGCCCAATGGCAGGTGCCAAGGAGCTCAAGAAGAGGCGCTATGCTGCCAAGTCCGCCCTGCAAAAGCGATGTAACCTGAATGAGGAGCTTTGGCCCCGAATCGATGTGGGGGTTTCCCAAAATTAGGGGTACCCTTATAGGGGCTATGTAGGGTTATATAGGGATATATAGGGTTCAGAGTATAGGGTTTCCCAAAATTAGGGGTACCTATAGTTACTATAATGGAGAATCAAATGGAAAAGAAAATGGAAAATGAAATGGAAACTGAGGATATGGAGGGGATTATAGGGATTAGGGTTTCCCAAAATTAGGGGTACCTTTCTGGGGGTCCAAATAATAAGGATTAGAGTGTTTTGGGGTCTATATTGGGGTCCCCTTATTTTGGGAAAGTACCATGTAGGGTTTAGGACCTAGTGTTTTTAGGGTTTAGGGTCTAGTGTTTAGGGGTTTAAGGTTTAGGGTTCAGGCGCCTAGAAACCTGTATCACTGGTATTCTACAGGGGCTACTACAAGGATGCATTGCTCCATTGCCTTCTAACAACTGGTTAGGGCTTAGTGCTGAGGTATTTGTGGGGATTACCTGGTGAATATGTGTGTACATGGAGAAATGGATACCACTGATGATTTTCCGACCTTGTGCAAAACAAAACAGATTCTCGTGATACACGGCCGTAGTTGGGTCTTGAAATTGATTTGCAGGCTGCGTTTTAAGGGGCCACATTTTTAACCCTGAGTTGGGGCTTGAAGTTGCACTCTAAACCGTGGACAAATCTCAACAACATGTTGGCAACATTGTTGGGTTTGGTGGGGCGGGCACCGAATAAATTGTTGGAAAAAACCCGATATGACAACCTAATCCGAACCCAACAAGAATAGAGAGATATTTATCCAAATTCTATCGCGACAGAGCTCTATTGTCCGATTCATGAAATGGGTTCCCAAGGATCTGGTAAAGAGGACAGACTTTATGCACGGATGGAAGTTTCTGTTCTCATTGAGACTTTGTTTTTTGTCACAAAGGACCGCCAAACCTCTAAAGCTTATCGGAAATAGTGGCACAGCACCACAGGATCCTGGAGCAAAGATCCTGATCTTCATCGGTCGCTGGGTCAAGCAAAAGGGGGTGGACCACATCGCCATGCTGACAGAGGACATGTGAGCGACGATTCAAAGAGTGTCTAGGGGATAGTGCTCGGCTCACAAGGTACGTTTCCTGAAATTAGGGGTACCTTTTGGGACGGTTCTTTATTGGGGACCCCTACTTTGGGAAACTACCAGATGGGCTTGATGACCTGTTGCAGTGGAATCCACATCAAGGCTGCCACGGGGTGCCCTTGCAAACCTGAGGCTTGCCTTGTTTTGTCCAGTGTAGGGCAGGGAGCTGAGAGAAAGACTTCAATTACCAAGAGATCCTCCGTGTCAGCTACCTTTAACTCTTAGCAGCTTTAGCGATTATGCCACTCCGTGCAGATATGAAGGAGCAGCATAGCATGAATGTAGTAGCTTCCATTTTCTTTTCCATTATCCCTATGTTACCCCTATGTTCCCGTATTCCCACTATATTGGCAAAATATATTCCCTCATTGGAGTTCAGAGAATGGCCAAACTTTTTCACTCAAGCTGCCGTCTGCACTTGTGGTGCGGGAGGCTTTTGCGCACGACTCTTCGACAGGGAACATCTTTCCTCAGCCTGAAGCGCTCCTCTCCCTAAGCCCAAAACCCACGTGAGCTATAGTCTCCTTAAAGGGGGGTTATATGGGGGGTTATGTAGGGGAGTATTATCGGGGTTATTGAGGGGGATACTAGGACTTTAAACAATGGCTCAAATCTCCAAGCATGCAGGACATCCTGCGCAGCCAGCAGAACGTGCAGATGGTCCTAGCAGGACCCCCCGATGACCCTTTCGGGCTCTACGCGCAAGAAATGCTAGTACCGCTGCGGGCGAAGTTCGAAGGCCGGAAGTAATCCGTTGCACTTTGAGGCTTTCGCCCAGGGGGGCGTGACATCGCCATTTGAGATGTAGGAATTAGCGCATATCCGCATATCATTGTCCTGCAAGCCACATACAGTGCAAAATCTGGATCCCTCAATGCCGTGTTCAGATTAGTCTTTCGATCTAACAAGGAGGCTCTTCTGAGGGGTTCACTTTTTGGATGACAGTCGAGAGTCTAGTCTGGAGGTCGGCTTTTCGTGTGCACGGAGTTCTTCTACCTGGAAAAGGCCGGCAGGGTAGTTGAAGGTACAACCCCCCACGTAAGCGCTACGGAATACACGGAGAAACAGTATTCCGGACATGCCTTAGATGAGGCTGTTGGTATGTGGGGGTTTCCCAAAATTAGGGGTACCGTATTGGGGTCCCTATAATAAGGACTATAGTGGATTGGGGTCTATATTGGGGTCCCCCTATTTTGTGAAACTACCATGTATGAACTAGCACAGAACCATTGCGGAAGCCTGAGTATCAATCAGTAATACTCTGACGCGCACGGACATATGCTCTCGCACAGCTGCTCTAAAAGCATCACCCTCCTCGCCCCAGTCCCTTCCCGTGCGGATGCCCTGAGGCCCAAAATTTGGCTTTCCTAAGGGTTTAGGGATTAGGGACCACCTTGGGGCCTCTTGGGGGCCACTATAAATTCAAGATTATAGTATTTTGGGGTCTAGATGTTGAGGTCCCCCCTTTTTTAGAAACTAGCAATTTGTATGAGTCTTTAATCCGCGGACGAGTTTGCTTTTCAGGATCCGCTGACGGGTTTGCTTTTCAGGGCGGTCCGCTAATTTAGTCTCCAGAGAGAATTGTCCTGGTATTAATACAACTTTCTTAACAACATTCGTCCATTTTTTCTTAGATTGAAATGATTCTTCTTATTGCCGCTAGTCCTTCATGGAGGATCCCAGGTAGGTCAGAAGGTCGAAGTTATAATCTTGCCAACGCGGTCTTTGCAGTTGCCGTATACCTAGAGTATAGGTCTTTGCAGCAACGGGCCCCTGTATTGAGAAATTGGAAGCATCATTGCAGAAACCGCAGGAAACCAAGATATCCAGTTCTAACACGGCCTGAAAGAAATCTGCGCTTCGATGGCGGACTGGTTAGCGCACCTATTGGTTCTTCTCAAAATCATGGGCTTTTTTTGCTTAGAGATTAGAGGACGCTACCTAACATATGGAGGTACCAAAATGGGATCCTAACTTTGGGAACGGCCCCTATGAAAGGCCCACTCTCCTAAACCGGGCACCGAGTCCTTGTGCAGGAGCTCCGTAGAGGAGCCCACCTTTGCTTCACGCCTTCATGCTCCGAGCCTTTTGGTACCTGGGCAGAAGATGGACAGGGCGCCGGAGCTGCGAGGTATTGGCGGTGCAAGGGGTGGCAATTTTTGGTAAGTTAGATCCCTTTAAAGGGGATATATAGGGGCATATATAAGGGTATATAGGGTTTAGGGTCCATGTACCCAATAGTTTGGTACTTTTAAGATGGCTGTGGTAGCAGGGGGAGTAGAAGGAGTAGTGCTAGTCATGATCAGAGTATTTACGCGCAAAAAGCTCCAGTCCCTACTTGAGGGTCTGGTAGAAGGCAGCCAACTTATAGAATTTCCCGAGCAATCGAAGCTTTGGTGAAGGGTCCTAGCCCTTGCTTCTTTGGCTCTCTAGATGTTATGATGGTATCCTACTTGGGCGCCGGGGTGAGCCTACTGTAGGCTTAAGGTGTCCTACTTGTGTCAGTATCTTCAGGAACAAGGTGGGGCAGGCACAGCACCAGCTCGTTGAGTCCCAGACAAGGATGCTATTTGTGCACAAAGCACCTTTTGGAAAACATCCTTGTAGCACGAGTGCCCGGCATCTGAGGCTATGTGGATGTCGAGTTTGGCTTGCTTGGCGTTCCTTCCGTGGGCTGTGCAATTGGTGGTTTGGGCAAGATGCCAGGAGTCTACTTTCGCCGCTAGGTCACGTTCAGAGGTGGGGTGTAAGTACACTTGCTGCTCCCCTAGACCCATCATGTGAAGTGGCCTCCATTCCAAAACCCTTCATGGTTTTGTCAATGCCCGATATTTAGACGACAACCGACGTAAGCCGGAAGGAGCCATTTGCATCTCCAGGCGGTAATATTCTTATTACTATCAATAATAGCACGATTACTGCTATTATTAGTACTATTATTAGCAATAGTATTCTTACGATTATTAGTAGGGGGGCTCATTCCTCTATACAGCTCAGACTAGGGTTTGGAAAGGGTATGGTTGGGAAACGCGCGTGGGCTTCATGCGGATGGAGCCCTTCCAAAGCCATGGCAGAAGCCCCCCTATGATAATAGCCATAGCAATATTAATAGTAAAAGTACTAATAACAATGATAAGAATATTAAAAAAGAATAGTAACATACCCCAAAATCTTGTAGTCCCTGTTCTCGGAGACCCCCTAAGAAAGGCGCTGCTAAGGCCAGCAAAATGCCGACTCCCCGCACATGCTCCTGGAAGCCTTCCACTGCGCTGTGGACTACGCTTTAGACTTGCCTGTGGCCTGGCTGAAGGAATAAAGACGAGGTCGTGCGAGCTTTACTGCAAAGTGTGTAGCATAGGGGTTGTGAAGTGATGTGATAAAGGTAGCAAGCGGAGGAAAAGCCCACTCAGCAACCTCAACAAGACCTGAACAAGTAGAGGCCCACCTTCCTTGTTGTCCTCTACCCTCCACTCCTCTGTAGCCTTCCAGAGTACAACTTGAGCCCAAAATGTGTCGGAACACTGAGGACGAGGAGTACTGGCAGATGGCAAAGGCCGCCACTAGGGCCGAGTTTCCGTTCATCATCTGGAAGGAGAACCTCAAAGAGGCACGGCTGTATGCTTAGTTTGGCTACTGCGCCTGTTTTACTTATTCTGATGACCGCTTTCCCTGTACACGCATGTCAGTACTGTTCTTTAAGCATCGCAATTATGATTGCTGGTGCTGCTGCTTTTGCTGCTCTCACCTTTGTAAATTCTGTATTGTTAGTCAGCGGCCCCTAGCAGTTGTTGCTACCTGCAGGCCTATCATCTCGCCCTGACACACTTCAAGGACCCATGCTGGAACTTGCGCTTGAATTGTGAGAAGCTTCAGCATTTGTGAGACGGCGTGTGGTAGCTTAACTACTGCAGGTGAGCCTGCGGCATGCCAGGTGAGCTTACTGCAGGTCTTTCTAGTCAAGGAGCAAGGATCTCCCACCGCATTCGCCATGTCGCCCTTGCAAGCTTGGCTGAGCTGCACCTCGCGTGCAGAAGAGGCGGTAGCACATGCCCTTGGTAGGGGAGCCAAGGCATGTGCTAGAAACCCGTGGAAGTGTATCACAGTCACCGTTGCGGGCTGCTTGCTCTGCGCCGTGGGCGTAGTGCGCTTCTCGGCTGTGAACCAGGCTCGTGATCTCTGGGTTGATCAGAACTCTCAGGTGATGAAGGACTTGGTGTGGACCGAGAACTACTTCACGTTTTCAGGGCGGGTCAATCGCGTCCTGGTCACTGCCAAGGATGGCGGCAATGTCTTGCGAATGGACACCATGCCCGAGCTCTTTCGCTTGGCCGACGACGTCAAGGCGCTTGTTGACGAGAATGGAAAGAACTTCTCGAACTTGTGCATCGAAATCCCGACTGGCTGCCTGAACAATGGCATGCCCCGATACTTCGGAAGAGGCATCTCGGCCGACTTCAACTCCACGGTCCAGAACCAGGCTGACATCCTGACCGCGGTGAACAAGGCCGCTTCAGAAAGTAGGACGGAAAGGATAGCAACGCGAGTAGGACCTCCATCAAGCAGAACCGGTTCTCAATAGTTAGAAAGAATTTGGCAGCAGTGTGCGCAAAAGGCCAACTACCCCGACGGTGCTCCGGCCTTTGCCGACGACAACATGGGCGGCATCGTGCGTGACGTCAATGGAAGTGTCAACAGCGCCACTGCTGCCCGCGTAGATTTTATTGTGACCGGCACCGAGGAGGCTATGATGGCCTGGGAGCAGGCTCTATTAGATCACTTCACCAAGGACCAGCTCATAGCAAACGCCCTCGCTAAAAGCGGTAGAGAACAAAACGCATGTGAAGGGCAGGAATGAAGAATAGCCGTATGACTAGCAAGAACCAACCATAGCCTCAGGCCTAGCATGTACAGAATCATGTTTTAGCCTCCAGAACACTCAGCTCGTGAAGGACCAGCTAACAGAGCAGCGCTACACCTACATCAACGCATTCGTGCCTGGGTTAATGGACGTTTGAGGGGTTTTGGGTTAGGGTTTGGGGGATTTGGGGATGTCACCGTGGTTGTACTTTGTGGAAGCTTCACTTTACAATCCATTTATGCGCCCGTAGATGCCACTGAACCATGCCTAAACAAATCATCAAGGATGGCCTGTGGCGCTACGTACGTTAATTAAACCCTGTCCGAAAATCAAAAAGCTCCACACCCTTATATCGTTCTCTAGAGGCCTATTTTGGTACCATTATAGCGGGAGTGAAGCATCAGAAAGTTGATGCTCGACCACAAGCCCAAAACTGTAAACTGTCATAACCCTTAAATCCTATTCCCAACCCCAGAGCCCCAAAGCCAAAACCGTTCAGTGTCATGAGCCCTACAGATCCTATGCCCACTTCCAAAGCCAAAGCCGTAAACCGTCATAAGTCCTATAGATCCTATACAAAGCCCCAAACCCAAAATCGTAACCTGTCATCAGCCCTAAATCTCGTAGCCGATCCTAAAGTGACCGAGGTGCAGTCCCAGCGCTCCCAAGATGATGAGCTTAACCGCACAGTGCGGGCGGACATCCCCCTGCTTCGAGGATCACTAGTATAGATTTGTGCTTGTGGGTTTCTAGTTTCTGGATTTGTGCTAGATTTTGGGCTCCTGGGTTTAGGGCTTACGTTGTAAGGTTCATGGATTAGCAGCTTGAAGATGCGAGTTCAATTGAGCTCATAGAGGAGGACTTCTCAACAACGTCGTGGTGGTGATCGCGGTGGTGGTTATCACGGTCATCTTTGTCATCTTCGTCGTCGGCGTCGGCGTCTCCGTCGTTGTGCTCATTGTCGTTGTCGTTATCGCCATCGCTGCGGCAGACGTCGTCATGGTCGCCGTCGTCATGGTCGTGGTGATCGTGGTTGTCGTCGTGATCGTGGTGGTCGTCGCATTTGTGGTGGTCGTGGACGGTCGTCGCGATCGTCGTGGTAATCGTGGTAATAGTGGTAATCGTGGTAATCGTGGTTGTGGACGTGGTCGTGGTGGTCCTCATGGACGTGCTTGTGGCCGTCGTCATGGTAGTGGTGATGTTGGTGCTGGTGGTCGTGGTGGTGTTGTTCGTAGTAGTGGTCGTTGTCGTTGTTGTCGTTGCGGTTGCTGCGGTCGTTGTGGTCGTCATGGTCGTCGTGGTCATGGTTGTGGTCATGGTCGTCGTGCCACACTGACCTTTCTTCCTATGATTGCCTCTCCTGCGCAGCGACTTTTCACCTCTCATCGCAGGCAGACGGCGCCCCCCTAAGGCCCTCAGGCCTCAGGGGCTGTGGCACTGCACCCCATAACGCCACAAGTTTTTCCTGGCCGCTTCTTGATTGCTGGCTCTTGTATAGCCAGGGTTTTCTGCCTTCAAAAATTTGATTTTGCCCCTGTGTTCCCGCCAGTTCTATTGTGGCCGGGCTTGGTGGCCTTAAGTAATCCCTTTGCCCTAATATTAAACGACGTCCCCCCCCCTCCCCCCACCTAACATTAAATATTCCGGGCCCCGAGAAATTATTTAATACTAGGGGGTGATATTTATTGAAGGAACTAGATAGGGCTACCTTTAAACTCCGTTTAAATTCAATGGAAAATGAATACTTAATTTAATGAAATTGAACTAATTAATTTCATCTTTCTTGAAATCGGATTAAAATTCCTTTTAAACTCAATTGAAATTTAATTAACATGCCTCCTAAAATCAATTGAAATTCAATTAGAACTCATTTTAAAACCGAACGAAGTCGAATTACACTCCCGTTAGAATCAATTGAAATCCAATTAAAATTCCTTTTACAATCAGTTGAGATTTAGTTAAAATTCCTTTTAAAATCAGTTGAAATTTGAGTAAAATTCCTTTTAAAATCGAACGAAACTTAATTAAAATTCCTTTCAAAACCAATTGAAATTTGATTAAAATTCCTTTTACAATCAATTGAAATTTAATTGAAGTTCCTGTTAAAACCAATTGAAATTTGATTACAATTCCTTTTAAAATCAACTGAAATTCAATTAGAATTCCTTGTAAATCAATTGAAATTTAATGAAATTCCTTTCAAATTCAATTGAAATTTGATTAAAACTCCTTTTAATACCGAATGAAATCGAATTGAAATCCCGTTAGAATCAATTGAAATCTAATTAAAGTTCATTTCAAAATCAAGTGAAATTGAATGAAAATTCCTTTTAAAATCAATTGAAATTTGATTGAAATTCCTTTGAAAAAAGAAATCTAATTGAAACTCCTTTTAAAGTCAATTGAAATCGAATTTAGAATCCAGTTAAAATCAATTGAACTCGAATGAAACTCAATTGAGATTTAGTTAAATACGGCAAAAAATGTAATAAAATCAATGAAAATCGCTTCAGTTCTTGTATCTAAAATCCTTTTTTAAAACCATATGAAAAACAATCAAAACCTAGGAAATGAAGGGGATCCCTAATTCCTTTGAATTTCTTCTTATGCCCCCTATAATGACCTCAGAACCCCCCCTAATTCATTATCAGGTGGCGCTTTTAAAAGTAGTCTTCTGGATTTTTAGGCCTCTGAATTTACTATTTAATATTCGGGGGGATTTAATATTAGGAGGAAGGGATTAGTCAGCATTCTCTGCAGAGGTGCTGTTTGCTGGCCGCTGTAGTCTTTCTTGGTGACGGCGCCCCTAAGGGGCCGTGCGTTTAAGCACATTTTTCTGATTGGCTTGGTATGGCGGATGCGCGAAACTG